TGGTTTATCTGAGAGAACATTAGCCTGGTAACATTCTTCTTGGCAAATACATACTTTCTGGAAATCACTCTTTTGTTCTGAAGGAGTTTATAAATAATCTCTTCGTTTGTTTTTTTATTCCATTTATTTGTGACCTGATCAAAATGTTCCCTATAATTGGCAAAAGTTATCAATATATATTTTGTCAATATATAGTTTGTCTAGGTATCAATGATAAATTCTGATGAACCTTTCTTTTTTACTTTTCAACCAGTTGTTTGGAAACATTTTTCACTTTTCAAAACACCTTGTTCTCCCAACTGAACATGTTAGAGAAATGTAGATAAAAGATCCAAGCTGTCAGCATTTCCTCTATTCATTTCATACAAAAGAAAAATCCTTGGGTCCATAGATTTAGAGAAAAGTACTTTTACTAGGAAGAAACTGAAAGCAGGCAGTTTCAAGCAAGTTATGAGGGAAAACGCATGAGAACAGCAACTTCAAACACAGTATACAGCCCAACTCCCTTGCAGCTAGGCAACCGCATACCAGAGCCAATGGCCTTGGCCTTGGAGATAACAGCAGTTGCAAAGCTGCAATGTAAGTTTCCCCCCTATTCCCTCTCCCCTATTCTATGGCAGCAAGCAACATGCTTGTGTCAGCCTGAAAAGACTACCTGGGATAAGAAACCAAGGTTTCTGCTCTTAAAATTCTTGAATGTTCAATTCTAGTTCCATCCCTTTCTGGAGAAGAATGAGTTTTGCAATCTTTCCTGGAGGAAACTCTACTTGGACCACAATGGAGATGTAACAGCAGATCTGAACATCATGAGTTTGGTGGTTCTCTCTAAGAAGGATCTCATCAAAGAGCAACTGGGGAGTTTTGCAAGAGGGAGTCTTACTGTTAACCAAGATGCACTCTCACAACTAAAGTTGCTCAATATGGTGAGGAAAATATTTGTGTTTTTTCTCTTTGGCCTGAGCCTGAGGACCTATTGCAGGTGAGCTAAGCCTCGTCACTGTACTATTGACCAGGATGAGTAGGGGGTTGGACTAAAAGACCTCCAAAGTCCCTTTAAACTCTGTTGTTTTGTTATTCTGTTAAGGTGTTGTTCATATGCTATAACATGGAACATTGTTTTAAGCTGACTCAGACATCTACAAGATGGATTCTGGGTGACTATTGTTTAGGACACAGATCATGGCCCTTTTGTGTTTGCACTTTAGCATCTCCATAAAATGGTGAGAGGGGCCATGAGGTGCTGAGGATTGTGGTCCATTTTGCTGGTTCCTTGCCCAAAATTAGTAAGAGAGAGAGGGGGGGAAAGAGGGAGGAGGAGGAGGAGGAGGAGAAGTGTCAATGTTCAGATTTGGACTGAATCTGATATGATAGAATGGAATGGAATGGAATGGAATTCTTTATTGGCCAAGTGTGATTGGACACACAAGGAAGTTGTCTTGGCGCAAATGCTCTCAGTGTACATAAAAGAAAAGATACATTCATCAAGAGTCAAGAATCATAAGGTACAACACTTAATAATAGTCATAGGGTACAATGAATAATAGTCATAGGGTACAATGATGAAATTAAATGAAGAATTGGTGGTGCTTCTTTTGGTCATATTTGGAAATAATCGATGGAATTCAGATTTATCTTGTCATGGTTCGGGAGGATTATACTCTGTGATGTTGTTAAATGGACCAGATGAGGACAAGCCCTTCCTGATATTGGAAGTAACAATAAACAATTTGAAATGAAATGCTACTTAATCTGCCCTTTAACTTTTAAGAATGCATTTAATCTGAAAACCCATTGAATGCAATTGTTCATCTTGATTGCCCGCTTCCGTAAATCTCTCTAGGCAAAAAAGAGTGTCCATATTTAACAAATAATAAATGTGGATTTGTCTTCCAATAGCAGTTGGGGTCACCTAGTTGTAGCTCAGCCAAATGTACCTGCATTACTTTTTTTGAGGGACATGTTCTCATGATGGAACCCCCATCTCATTTCACTACTAAACTAGGCAATCAGGTTAAGTCTTATTTCAGAAGCACGGCAGCCATGTAAATTGAACAAATAAACATACCCCCCCCCCAAAAAAAAATTATGCAGCACAAACTTTAGGGAATATTTGCTTTGTATCTTAATTGGGAGGCCTTTTTTTGACTACTTTGAAAGGGGGTTGACTTTGCAATGTTTCATATAGTCCAGAAGAAATGTTTCCAGATACTAGTGCTTTCTTTCTTCATCACAGTTTTATTCTATTTTAATAAATCTGATAGAATAAACAATTTTAGAATAAATTATATTTTAATTTTAACACTAATAAATCATCATGCTTTAAAGTCATAGATATACAAAGAATGGAGGAATGCATGATAATACAACCATAAGGAGGAACCCATTAGTTGTAACTTAATGCTAAAATCTTTATTCAATTCCATCCCTCCAGACTTTATCAAGTAGAAAAGTCCTTTCTTACAATACGATATGTCCAAAGTAAAAAGGAGGAGCTAAATGAAGAATCTGCCAGAAGTTATATAGAATAGAATAGAACAGAACAGAATAGAATAGAATTCTTTTATTGGTCAAGTGTGGTTGGACACACAAGGAATTTGTCTTGGTGCTAATACTCTCAGTATATATAAAAGAAAAGATACATTTGTCATATCTCCTACCATTTTCTTGAACTAGTTTAAGATTTCATATTTGCCTAAATGAAGCCCAAAGATTTCTTGGCCAATGGTATGTCTACCTCCATATTTCATATATGGTTACTTTTAACTCATTTTCTTTGGCATTTTTCTTTTTCTGCTTAGTCTCTGCCTCAGTCCAAATGTGTGGACAATTGTCATCCTGGATTTTTCAAGTGGACTCGAGAAGGGGAACCAATTTGTTGCTATGACTGTGTTCCTTGTCCGGAAGAGACCATCTCCACTCAGGAAGGTGGGTGACATTGAATGAAAGGGTACTGGATTCATTCAGATACTTTAGGTCAATGTTCATGTTGAAAGATGCATTTATGCTTGGCTATTTTGTTGTTTCTCATTTTCAAAAATGTCTTTGATAATGGGAGGATTAAAAAAAAAGATTCAGAAAAAAAGAAAAAGATGAGGTAGGATGAGGTAGAAGGACATAGTGGATTGTGGAAGGTTACTTTTGCCCCAGGAAGTATCTCCTCTACTTATCGGTTTAGAGTTGTCCTTTCTGTGTTGCTTGTCTCAGGAAATTCTAAACTTTGAAACTTGAGGAACAATTTCAGGACAACAACTCTTATACTCCTACTCTGAATAAGGTGGCACTCTCCTAGATGAAGATGCTGCACAATTTAGGGATCCTCCTAGACTCACAGCTACTGCTCAATGACCAGGGGCATAGCAGTTGAAAGCAAAAGTACATTCCAACTCTTATCTTTAAAAATTGTAATTAAAATACCAGAGTTTTTGCCCACAAATATATTTAACTGGAGAACATGAATGATGACACCTAGCCTGTGAACGTGCTCAAATGGAAAATCTGATTTATGAGACACCCAGGGGGGATGGGGGAAACAGGGTCACAGGTGATTGTAAATTATGTATGCCAGAGTTGGTTTCATACAGGTCAGTGCCAATATGTCACCTCTAATGAATCCTTTTATGGTTTTTGAAGTTTGGCTCGAGAATCATGATTTAATTAGAGCGACTGCTGGAATCCTGACATACATTTTTTTCTGTATCAACTATCCCCTTTCCTGACTAGAACAGAATAGAATAGAATACTTTATTGGCCAAGTGTGATTTATTGGCCAAGTGTGATTGGACACACAAGGAATTTGTCTTGGTGTAAATATTCTCAGTATACATAAGAAAAGATACGTTAGTTAAGAATCAAGAATCATAACATACAACACTTAATGATAGCCATAGGGTACAATCAGCAATCAAATCATACTAGGAAACAGTCAATATAAGTCGTAAAGATACAAGCGACAAAGTTATAGTCCTACAATCACGAGTGAGAGGGGATGGGTGATAAGGAGTGGTGAGAAGGTTAATAGCAATAGTAGTGCAGACTTTGTAATAGATGAACAGTGTTGAGGGAATTATTTGTTTAGCAGAGTGATGGCTTTCAGGAAAAAACTGCTCTTGTGTCTAGTTGTTCTGGTGTACAGTGCTCTATAGTGTTGATTTGAGAAAAGAAGTTGAAACAGTTTATGTCCAGGATGTGAGGGGTCTGTAAATATTTTCACAGCCCTCTTGTGCAGTATACAGGTCCTCGATTGAAGGCAGGTGGGTAGTAATTATTTTTTCTGCAGTCCTAATTATCCTCTGAAGTCTGTGTCTGTCCTTCCTGGACCAAAAGGGTCTTGCTCATGTCTTATTCACTTCCTATTTGAATTATTGCATTGTGCTCTACAAGGGGTTGCTCTTGAAGACCTCCTAGAATATACAAATGGTCAAGAATGCAATACACATTGTTGAATCCCCCTATGTTCAACCAGATTACACTTCTGTTATGTGAGCTTCACAGGCTCCCAGTTTCTTTCCAAGTGCAAATAAGTTCACTTGTGCACCTATGCCCACATGGTATAGACAGGGTATCTGTGGGACTTCCTCACCCTAAGGATTTCTGCTTGTCCCACCAGAAAAGATATAATTGGCATGCTTCAGGTCTATTCCTTAAAACATTGGCATATTGTGGGTTCTTAGAAACCTGCTTATTCTATTACAGCCCTTTCCTATAGAACTCCCTTCCCATTAAGCTATTAAAGAACACAACCAGTGTAGGATGAAAATTTGGTAACCTACCTAAGTAAAGGATGGTTGTGTCACCATGTACAGTATATCAATTTGGATATATATACATGTGTGTGTGTGTGTGTGTGTACACATACACACACACACACACACACACACACACACCTTCTTATTTACATTTACTATAACTTTCTGGTCTCTCAGTATCAGGTGACATTCAAAGCAGGTGCTTCTTGGTGTTTCTTGTTAAAGAAATATTGCTTTTTTTTTGTTTTCTCAGATATGGAAAAATGCACCAAGTGCCCAGATGATAAATATCCAACCAAGAACCGAGTCCAATGTAGCCCCAAAATTATAACCTTCCTGTCTTATGAAGAAGATCTTGGCATCATCTTGGTCTCTTTTGCCCTACTCTTCTTTCTCACAACGGGCTTTGCTTTAATCATATTCTTTAAATACTTAGAAACCCCCATTGTCAAAGCCAACAACCCGGACCTCTCCTACATCCTTCTGGTCTCCCTCATGCTCTGCTTCTTGTCCTCCTTTCTCTTCATTGGTCGACCAAGGAAAGCCACCTGTCTTCTCCGACAAACAGTGTTCAGCATCATCTTTTCAGTAGCTGTGTCTTCTCTGTTGGCCAAAACAATCACAGTGGTGCTGGCCTTCCTGGCCATAAAACCGGGAAACAGAGTGAGAGGATGGTTGGGAAAGGGTTTGGCCAACTCCATCATCCTTTTTTGTTCTGCTGGACAAATTATTATCTGCTCCATCTGGCTTGCAGTTTCTCCCCCATTCACTGATTCTGATCTCCACTCCCAGCCTGGAGAGATCGTCCTTCAGTGCAATGAAGGCTCTGTCACTATGTTTTATGTTGTTCTTGGATACATGGGTTTCCTTGCTGCCATTTGCTTCACGGTGGCTTTTCTGGCCAGGAACCTGCCTGGTGCGTTCAATGAAGCCAAACTTATCACCTTCAGCATGCTGGTGTTCTGTAGTGTCTGGGTCTCCTTCCTGCCCACCTACCTGAGCACAAAAGGAAAGTCCATGGTGGCTGTGCAAGTCTTCTCCATCTTGGCCTCCAGTGCTGGGCTGTTGGGCTGCATCTTCTTCCCCAAGTGCTACATTATCATCCTAAGACCAGATCTAAACACTAAGGAGCAGCTAATGATAAAAGTAGGGAAATGATAGTGAAATGGTTTCTTAGACTCATAACATTTCATTCTTCTGTGCAGTTATTATTGGGTGTGTATACTTTCTTTGC